CATCATAAAATAAAAAAATACATGAGAGCTATATATCCAAAGTAAAATTTCAAAAATTAGAAAAAAAAAGACCCCTTTGGGTAGAGATATTCAAGCTCAAATCTAAAACGATTTCAAATTTGAAGTGAAAAGAATGCTAGTAGGCAGAGGATGTGCCAGTGAGGAAGGTCCTGAGTGGACAAGCCCAGGTCTTCTAGAAGCAGAGGCTCCACGTTTGCCACAACACGGGAGGACGCTGAAGTCATTATGTTAAGTGAAGTAAGTCAGACAGAGAAAGGTAAGCACTCTAGGATCTCATATATATGTTGAATCTAAAAAGATTAGACTCATAGGAATAGAGTGTAGGTTGGTGGTTGCCGGGGGCTTGAAGGTGGAGGAAACAGGAGATGTTCAAATTGCATGAACTTTTTATTATATGGTCAATAAGCTGCAGTCATTTAATAGCCAGGTGACTCCACACTGCATTGTAAACTTGGAATTCACTAACAGTAGATCTTAAACGTTCTCATCACACACACACTAAAAATGGTAACACTGTGAAGTAAAAAATGTGTTAAGTAACCTTACTGTGGGAATCATTTCATAATGTATGCATTTATCACATCATCACATTGTATAAGTTATAGACTATTTGTCAATTTTATGTGAGTAAAGCCAGGAAAAAAGAAGAAAGGCATAAAAGTTGAAGTTAGAAGGACCAATGGAAGGCCCCTGGCAAAGTTCCTCTTTGTGTGTCATTATCAACTATTAATTCTTCTGTCACTTCCTCCAAGATAATTGCCTTCCCTTCTTTCCGTTTCTCAGCCCTGGTTGAATGTCCCTCTTTGTCTCTTTGTGTTTCACAATCATCAACTTAAAGTATTATTTAAATCACCCTTTCTGTGAGAATTCTTTGCTAAAGGGCTGAGCGTTCCACCTCTGTATCCAAAACATGGCATGTTGTCTGGGAAAAATGAGAAAATAATCAAATTTAGAATAAATTAAATACACCAGATAATATTCTTAAGTGTTAGTTATAACTCATGAACACAATGTTAACGGAGTGATGGTATCCCTTAAAGTTATATGTTTATATATTTCTGTATATAATACAGTGTGTATATGTGTGTGTGTGTGTGTATACACAACACTTTTTGGGATTGTACATGAAGTGGTGGAGACACTAACATAATGGATCTATAAAGATATGCATATCAATTACACCACGAGTAAAGAGATGTATGATTTTGGAATTTGACTATTTCATCAGACTTTGATCTTGTTTCCGGAAGGCTAAAGCACTGAACCTGGTTTGCTGAGAAAGTGTGGACGTGGCCATATATTTGAAAAATCATATAAAACTGAAGGACATTCTTAATCGTCCATCACAATTGTGAAAGCTAAAAGCCACTGATGGTTTTAGGTTTTCCAGCTGCCACTGTGAAATATCTCTTTGTGAAAGTATTTTTCAATGAAAGCAAAGCCTAAGAAAGTCCTCTGTCATTCAGGGTGGCGTCAGCGAGGTGCTATGTCATGTTAGGAAAAGATCTCATGGTAGGAAAAGCCTACAAATAATTCTTATTTTATATAAAAGTTGTTTTAAGTCTCACTCCAGCATATTTCATCAATTCTCCCAAACTCTTTAGGAATTGGGGCTTATGAGCAACTATAACATGGCAGAAGAACATTGTCTGAAACATACTGAAGTCCAAGCAAAATAGGCTGTGAAGAGATTGCCATGAATTTAAAGATTATAACATGTTATTCAAGTAACCATTTCCATCATATAAATGACATTTATTACATCTAAAGACCGATTTGATCTAAATATTGGCCCGTTTTATTACATCAAGTTGTAAGCTGCAAATAACCAATTTATGGAAGTATTTTTAAATAATTCATAGCTCAAATAAAAGTTTGAGCAGGTATGTGTAATAACTTCTCTATCTTGGGATTCTATAAAACAGGAAAACCACACTAAAGACTTGGATGCTTTCTAACCTGCCTACTTCACTCCTCATTAGTGTACTTTCTTCTCAGTGTCTCCACATCCCATACTTCTCATACACCCACCCCTGTCTGATGGCAAATATTGTCCAAATGCAACATCACCAATGACCTTGTGTAGTGGGTTCATACTGCAGGCAAGTTCCTATATCCTGACCTCTTCCTACATCAGAGCCATTGAAATACTTAAGAATAAATGTGGCATAACAATGGTAGATGTGAGTCCATGTCTAAGGCAGAGAACAGAAAGATACAGTCAGGTGATAGGTATGTGGTCAGTATAACTAGTTTTGTGAAAACTAGAGTAGCAATGATGTTCAATAACCCGCTAAGTAGGACTTCTGTGCTAAAGTCAGAGACAGCAACTTTTAACCTCCCCCCATCTCTCTCTTGAGGACCGTGCTGGGAACCAGGTAGCACGGCCACTCTAAATTTAACTCATCCCTCTTCCTTTCTATCCCTCAGATCCCCTATGAGAAATGGACTTCACCTAGATTACCTGTGAGGTCCTTTCCCACTGGTGCAATCTGTCTCTGTAAAATATGACTTGATAGCTCTGTAAATCCATCCAAAAGGATTTGAAAAATTAAAAAAAAAAGAATCACTTCACCTTCAAAGAAAAAATTATCCTGTACATCTAGGCTGTTTTACCCTGAAATAGTGGTGACATGAAACCATCTAGATAGTATGATTCAAATAGTCAAACACCCTCAAACATGGTCTTTTTGAGGGGCTGATTTTCAAATTCAGAATCTCATATACTCATCACAGAAAAGGATATCCAACTTTATTAGCTTTCAGTAAATAAAAATTAAATAAAAAGCTAACAGTAAGAAAAGTAGTATCTAAAAAACAATGAGATATAAATAATTGAATTATCAGTTGTTGGTGACAATGTGAAACAACCATGGCTTTTACACTTTAACACTAGAATGAGACTGTCACTGCTCTTTGTAAAACTCTAAGCTGAGTTCACTAGAGCTGGACATATAATTACCCTCTGACTCAAAAGTGCCATTGTTAGAATTAAACACAAGAGAATTGAACGAATATGACCTCCCAAAGACATGCACAAACATATCCTCCATTGCATTATTTGCAGTAATACAGACCCAAAAACTCAGATTTTTCCAACACATTAGATCACGATTCAACAAAGTTTTCCTATGTGTTAAATGGCATATATGTTAGGGTTCTTAGCCTATATACTCTGTCACATCCACTGTGGCTTGCCCTGTGTCACAAAAGCAGTCATGAATATTATGTAAACAAACAGTGTGTCCCAGCTCCAGGAAAGTTTAAGGGCCGATTTTACTGATCACTTTTCTGAATTAAATAACTATATGTTGTTTGTACCTAGGAAATCTACAGAACAATGAGGATGGATAGACTACTTTGACGTACAAAAGTACAGAGAAATTTCACAGCAATAATACTGAGTAAAAGAAATCATATATAAAAGTGTAAAAGATGTATAATTTTTCTACTATATAATTAAAAAACATCAACTAATGTTATCACGTTGGGCATCCATTTGTGATGGGTGCAGGAATAATTTGAGAGGCTAGTCATGATCTTTTTTGGTTTGGCTCTAGATGCAGGATTCTTTCATTTCTAAAAATTAATGTTTTTAGATGAAAGTTTTCTGTATGTGTATTACACTCAAAAAAGGATTTCTATAAACAAAGTATATTCACCACCAGATTGTAAGCAACTGTTAATTTTTGTTTTTTTAACCTAACAGTTTCTTGTACAAAATAAGTGTTGGTTACATATTTGGGAAATTGATGTAGTGCATCGTTTCATGGAGTGTCTCAGCACATAATTAACCTCTGTGTTACTATTAGTGCTGCCGTTTGTAGAACAACACCGTCATTGTCCAGCCACTGATGCTCCTAGTCATTGTCCCAGCAGCAGGGAGACATAAGGAACTCTGGTGCCCCAACACGCAGTGAACTCTGTGTCACAAGACTCCGAGCTTTAGGAACAGAAAACTAGATTCTGAGGAAGGTACTTTTCTGGGTAGACATTTGCCAACACAAAATTGTTTTAGTGTCACCAGGGACACCAGGAAAATACTAAACACAATTTCTTTTTCTCACTTACTGTATCTGAGGAATACATTTTTTCCCTAAGGCATGTTTTTCAATTATTTAAGATCTATATTTTTTTTATGAAAATGCAATCCCACTGGGAGGTACTTTAGGTTCTTCAACTTAAAATAATAATGAGACTCACAGACATAGAAAACAAACGTACGGTTACCATGGGGAAAAGGGGGTGAGGAGGGATAAATTGGGAGTTTGGGATTTGCAGATACTGACTGGTATATATAAAATAGATAAAAATAAGTTTCTTCTGTATACCACAGGGAACTATAGTCAATATCTTGTAGTAACTTACAATGAAAAGGAATATGAAAAGGAATATATGTATGTACATGTATGACTGAAACGTTATGCTGTACACCAGAAGTTGACACAACCTAGTAAACTGACTATGCTTCAATTAAAGAAAAATGTCCTTAAAAAAAATAATGTAGCTGAAACTCAAGTTTAAAGT